ACCACCAGCTTGAGGGCCAGGTGAGGTTTCAGTACCAGGAGAAGCAGGGAGGGCATTCAGGCAGAGGAGCCAGCCCATGCAAGGGCCTGGAGGTGGGACAGAGCGTGTGTGTGTGTGTGTGTGTGTGTGTGTGTATCCGTCCCCTTTGCTCTCTTTAGTGTGGCATAGATTGGGGAAGGGACTGCGATCAGGTAAGGGCAGCAGTGGAGGCCCACATGTTAGACTGGAAGTTCGGGCTTCAGTTTCCAGGCAGCAGGAGCCCCTGGGGGCTCTGGGTAGGAAGGAGGGCATGATGAGACCTCTGCCTCCCAGCGGGCCCTGGCCCTCCCAGAAGCACCCAGTTCAGTGTTTGCACTGAGCTCTCGGTGGAAAGGGAATGTGCTCTCTGGCCTCACTCTTTCCAGCGCAGTCCCTCCCCAGCTGCCCACGCCCACACGCATCTTCCCTCTGCCTTGCTCTGCTCCCACCCTGGGCAGCCATCCCGCCCTCTGGGGACCCATCTCCCCACTGAGTCCAGCCTTCATGACGAGCACTGGCTAGCAGGACAGGGCTCAGGCTCCGGCCTTTTATGGGCCTGCCAGCTCACACTGTCCCCAGCCAGGGCAAGTAAGTGCGACCCCCGAGGCAGTGGGAGGAGGAGATGACTCAGGCTGGGCGACTGCATCCCAGCACATGTCAGCTGGCCTGGGGAAGGGTCACCACTGGTCCTCAGGCAACTCTCACTGCCCAGCGGAAACCTGGGAGGAGCTCTGGGGTGACTGTCCTTGCCGAGACATGCAGCTTGGTCACAGCTCCTTCCTCCAGGAAGAATGATTCAACAGCTGCCCTGGGGCTGAGCCACCTCCCCAGCTCAGCTTCCTGCAGGGAGCTGAAGGGGAAGGACCCCCAGCTACCTTAGGCTTAGAAATCCAGCAGGGCCCACATCCCGAGTGTAGCAGGCCCACCGACCACGTCCACCCCTTAAGCATGTTTGACCCATCTCGTGTTTCATATTGAATGACCGTTGTGAACATTTAAAAATCAGATTTTATTTAAAAGCTCGTGTTCAATTTCTCTTGAGAAATCAGATCTAGTGTCACTGGGCCACACTCTGCCCATCCCCTGTGTATGGCAGGGGGCAGCGGCCTTGAGGCGGGCCCACCTGACAGCAGCTGGGTTTGTGACCTCAGTACCTGAATCTGTTTCCTGGGTCTGCTGTGACAAAGTACCATAAAGTCGGTGGCTTCAAAGAGCAGAAATGGATCCCCTCGTGGCTCTGGGGCCAGAAGTTAAGTTAAGGGTCAGCAGGGCCACATTCCCTCCCGAGGCTCCAGGGAGAGCCCGTCCTTGGCTCTGCTGGGGCCTGGTGGCTCCACGTGTTCTGGGCTTGTGGCCGCAGGATCCGGTCTCTCCCTCCAACTTCAGGTCCTTCTCCTCTCTCGGCTCTCCCTCTGCCTTTCTCTGAGAGGGACCCTTGGCATTGGACGTAGAGCTCCCCTGATAACCCAGGACGTGTCATCTCTAGGTCCTTAACCTGATTGCCTCTTCAAAGACCCTCTTCCCAATAAGTTTACATTCACAGGTTCCCAGGGACTTGACGTGAGCATATCTTTTGGGGGCCACCATCCAGCCACTTCACGCCTCAGCTCCCTCCTCTGTGAAACGGGAATAATCACAACAGCGCCTGCTGCACAGGCTGCTTGAGAGAATGAGGGACACACTAGATGTCGTTAGCGTCATTCCTAATCTAGGAAGGAAAAGAGCCGCCCGCAGGGGCCATAAGTCGCTGGGGTGAGCAGGGCGTGTGCCCAGGAAATTTGCCCCTCAGGC